GAGAGCGAGAGAGAGAGAGAGAGAGACAGCGTCACATCACAGGGGAGTCAGCTGTCTTAACCGTGGCTTGTGTACTGCAAACACATACCAGCTTCATCACTGTGTCTGTCACGCGACTCTGTTCCCCTTTCGGGCTCTGTCTTTAAATGTATTTTGAAAGATGAAGCTCGCGATTATGGTAAAGGGCGTTACGTTTCCGACGAGTGCTTGCGGTGTTCGGCCAATCACAATGCACTGGGTCAGCTGGCCAATGTCTGTCACGCGACTCTGTTCCCCTTTCGGGCTCTGTCTTTAAATGTATTTTGAAAGATGAAGCTCGCGATTATGGTAAAGGGCGTTACGTTTCCGACGAGTGCTTGCGGTGTTCGGCCAATCACAATGCACTGGGTCAGCTGGCCAATCAGAGCAGACTGCGCTTGTCGGAAGGAGGGACTTTGTAGAAAACGAAGCGTTTGAGAGAGGCGGGGCATATATGACCTACAATAATGTACAGTATTTGAAAAATAATGTGTTTTTTGAACATTAAAGCATGTCAACATATTCTGTTACACCAAATAATGATCTTTAAAAAAGCATCATATGACCCCTTTAAGTTTCACTTTCCATAATCCGTGACCGACAGGAGCATCTTGGCGGCAGGTATTTAAAACTTTAACAAGACTCAAATTGACACAGGCAGATTGAAAGACTGGATTTTTTCGATCAGGTAGAGTACAAGGGATTTCAAAACATTTCAGCCGGTTTATATATATCGTGTTTGGCTACCAGTATTGCGCTCTTTTTGTAACTCATAAATAGCACAAGTGGAAACAATCTTTACTGTGTGGTTGAACTGCAGTGGCCAGCTAAATGCCGTCAAGGGATTCCCTGTGCATGAGGTCTGGCTGTACAGCACTATTTAGAAACATGCGTCAAGGGGAATAGACTATGTTTGGACTGATAATATATGCACACTGCAACATAAGCTGTGTTGTTGCTTTGACTTCAGGGTAGCAGGAATGTCTGAGCTCTACTGCCTCTAGTGGCTGGTTAGGGGATGGCATGACAAACAAGTACTTAAAGGAACACTCCATTATTTTTGCAAATAGGCTCATTTTCCAACTCCCCTAGAGTTAAACAGTTACATTTTACCGTTTTCGAATCCATTCAGCCGATCTCTGGGTCTAGCGGTAGGACTTTTAGCTGTAGCTTAGCATAGATAATTGAATCTGATTAGACCATTAGCATCTCGCTCAAAAATTACCAAAGAGTTTCGATATGTTTCCTATTTAAAACTTGACTCTTCTGTAGTTAAATCGTGTACTAATAGCAATGATATTATGCAGCACCTGAAAATAGTCCCCAGCTAGGTAACTTCCAATAAGCCTATTTTCAGGCGCTGTGTAATATCATTGCGCCTGCTGCACCCATGGTACGGCAGCAAAGTTTCTTGATTATTACGCCGGAATGAGAATATAGTTTCTAGCCATATCGGCTTAGAAAATCGCAACTTTTAATTTTCCGTCGGTCTTAGTACACAGTGTAACTACAGAAGAGTCAAGTTTTAAATAGGAAAAATATCGAAACTCTTTGGTCATTTTTGAGCGAGATGCTAACAGTCAAATTTGATTCAATGATCTATGCTAAACTAAAGCTAAAAGTGCTACCGCCAGACCCGGAGATCGGCTGAATGAATTCGAAAATGGTAAAACTCAACTGTTTAACTATATGGGAGTTGGAAAATGAGCCTATTTTCAAAAATAGTGGAGTGTTCCTTTAAAGAATAAGATTAATGCTTTGTTTGCACAGTGATGCATTGTTGCATTGCATTGAGAATATAGCAGTAGCTAATTCTACCTCTAAATAAAATCTCAGAATGAGCTGAGACAAATAAATCAGCATTTATTCTGAAACAAAGAAGCGGATGTACATTAATAATTTAACATAAAAGGAAAGTATCAATAGGTTTAGTTTTTTATACTCCAGTTGCCACCGAAAAATATTTACACTCCCTCAGTGCTGCAGGTTTGACAGACCAAAATAAACTCTAATCGAGTTGCCCAGCCAAAGAAAGCTGGCAAGTCCATTAAGCTGGAAAAATCTCTGACCCCATACTTTTATTTTTCCCTTGTGGAAGAACACATGGATGTGACAAGATAAGACAAAATAAAGTTTCATTTGCTCAAAAATAGTGTTAGATAAAACAAAAAAGGAACAATATTCAAACATAAATATTAGTTTAATTATTCAGCTCTGCAGATAATGTTGTCCTTGCACAGGTCAGATTTGAAGGTTTATTTAGTGAAATGCAAGGCGTTATCATATATGATTGCCTTTAGAACTGAAATCTATATTAGGATGGCTGCCGCTGTTAGTGCTCTATAACTAATTCTGTCTAGTTGGCCCAGACTGTGTTACGGCAGAGACCCCTGCCACCCCCCTGAGTGGTCCTGAATTAACAACATTCTAAACCTTGAGTACATGCAGTCTTTGTCCCAGTGGACGAGATCTGCTAAGCACATAAATTCTTAGCACCATCTTAGCCATGTTCAGCCTGCAGAAGCACAGACCTTAGTCAGACTATTATAGTTGACTGGACACTATATTTACATTGACATGAAAGAAAACAAGAATGTGCAGTCTATTCGATATGTTGTTTTTATAAGATCAAATCTTTGTTCACAGCCAGTATTTTTCTGGACTTTAATAAACTGATGTTCTGTCATCTTTACTTTTTATGTATTTTCATTATTAATGCTGTCCAAACTTCAATTTTTGGTTTTCTTTGTTGTTTGTTTGCAAATTCTGCTTGTAAGCTATTTAAACTCGTTAGCTAGATACTTTTTCTAACTGAAGAACATCTTTAAGAATTTGTAAAAAAAAAAAAAAAAAGAAAAATTGCCACGTGTGCATTTTTTTTGTTTATGAATTTATTCCTAAACATAAAAAATGGTAAAAACATTTACCATTTAATGACCAAATATTACATTCATATATATGAAAATGTATAATAATAAATACTATTTTAAAAATAACTCATATTAAATAAATGTATGGTAACAATATATTTAATTAATATTAAATAAAAAAAATTATTTCTATGTAATATGAATTTAAATATAAAATAAATTAACATTTATTTAAATATATAGCTAAATACATTTAAAACAATATTTTGTAATTTAAATTCATTAAAAAAGCCTACATTCATACTCTAGTTTACTGTAGTGAAATATTGGAAGTAGACTGCCCTGAGAAAAACACATTAGTAGAGACAATTGTGTAATCAATGCCCTGGGGGACAAAGTGTGGCAGTTCTCTTCCTCACTCCCTTTTTCATCTTGGACTCCTCAGTGCCTTACTGGGGGTTATAACACATTCGCCAGCAGGACTCCTAGTATTTACATGTCTGATGAACATAATATCCCGTTTCCTTCCTCTGAAAGTGAGATGGGTGAGCAGGGTCCTGTTCACCAAACTGCACTGGGATGCAGGCCAGCGTGGATAATGCTGTCTGAGATATCGCCCTTACAGGAAGAGGCTCATCTCTAACAGGAAATCTGTCTGCTTTACTTTCCAGTTGATGGGTAGTATGAGGGATTTATTTGTCATGCAAAATGGATTCTGGTGCATTTCATTGCAGGGTTGTAAGCCAAGCAGGCTTTATGTCTCTCAGTAGATGTAGTCGGATAGTTTTTAATACATTTAAGATATAAGTTTTCCATCCTGGTGTACAACCAGGCTTTTTGTTTTCCGTGTTCTCTCAAGGGCCGTAATTCAAGTAAAATGCTAATTGTCCATAAAACTGAATTATTAATATTGTTTTCTCTTTTTGGATCTTCACAGAGAAACTGGCTGAGGCACAGCGCCGATTTGCAACTTTGCAGAATGAGCTGCAGACGTCTCTGGATGCCCAGCGGGAGAGCAATGCTCCAGGGCTGCGCAGTCGCCGCAAAACAGTGTTGCCTTTGTCCAACAAAGAGCGCAACAAACATCGCAACATCAAAGACCTGCAGCTGGCCTTCAGCGAGTTCTACCTCAGCCTCATCCTCCTGCAGAACTACCAGGTCTGATATTTGTCATGATTTTTGTTTTTGTTGTTTGTCTTCTCTTGTGAATGTTGTCCTGACTCCCTCTTGGGTTTCTTGACCTATCTGGTTTCTTTTTTTTTCTGTGCTTATTTTACTATTTAATTAATAATTAGCTTTTCATCAATTCACAGACCAGTTTCCGTTAAAGAACCCTTATCTAAATATTGATGTTCAAATTTTTGAAATATGTTTCATAGCTAAATATTGATTTTTACATTTAAATGGATGAGTTAGACTGGATAGTAAAGAAAAAGCAGTTAACAGGCATCCACTATACATGTGAACACTATACATGTTATGTATTTTATTGCATGAGTTTTTTTCTAAAATGTCTAATTATTTTATTTCATTATTCTAAATAGCAATAATAAGGATTGGGTAGATGTGCCTTAACATGAAGAACTAGAGAATTACACTTTCTTGTTTTAGATCTGAATTCTTAATTTCATATACTAAATTTACCCTAATCACATACAGAATCTGAACTTCACTGGATTCCGTAAGATTCTGAAGAAACATGACAAGATTCTGGACACACAGCGTGGAGCTGATTGGCGTGTGGCTCACGTGGAGGTGGCTCCATTCTACACCTGTAAGAAGATCACACAGCTCATCTCTGAGACTGAGGTAGACTGCCTGGCTCCACGTTTGAACTTCTGACTTCCTGCTTGTATCATGATCTAATTGAATTGGTGTTAGTAGCTGCTGAAACTGATAAATGATGCTTAAAACACACCCTAGAGCACATTAGAATGAAGTGGAATTCAGGGCGGAAATGACTAAACTAGAGAATGGTGTCTGACCTTTGACCCTTGTGTGCCCAGGCTCTGGTGACCACAGAGCTGGAAGGAGGTGACCGTCAGAAGGCAATGAAGAGACTGAGAGTTCCACCTCTTGGAGCAGCACAGGTGAGAAAAAACTATTGATAGTACATGCAGATGCACACACACACATACACGCATGCAGCAATTGTGTTAATTAACATTTATAATTGGTAGAATCAAAGTTATTTTATATACCAATGTGACTTTCAATAAAGTGCATGTAGTTTGTTTTTATGATTATTTTAGTGATAAATGCAAAACCCACGTGGAAAGCAACAAATATGTTAGCAGAAGAATAACATAATAGCAAACAGCCAATGAAAAACATGTGAAAAATATCTGCAGTGTCTTTTTATGCAGTACTTTTGAAGTACTCAGGAACTACATAATGTAAAAGGCAGCGTGGGTGGAGAGATACACCTGTGCTTGGAACATCATGCACAATACCTTTTACCTTTAATAGAGAGAATGTATGTGTCTCTCTGTCCTTTGGATAACACAAATATATAAAAAATTGTGCTGTCAAACGATTAATCGCATCCAAAATAAAAGTTTTTGCTTACATACTATATTTATTATGTATATATAAATGCACACACATACATTATATATTTTGAAAATATTTACATGTATATACATTTATACAATTATATTTTATATTATATATAAATATATTTAATATATAAAAATAGCATATTTTTCTTAAATATATACATGCATGTGTTTGTATTTATATATACACATACTAAATATACACAGTACACACTCATATATTATGTAAACAAAAACTTTTATTTTGGATGCGATTAATCGTTTGACAGCACTAAAAAAAATCAACAGGCTTGTTTTTGTTGAAGGCATCTCCTTAACTATTCTTATTAAATCTAATGACTGACCTTGAAATGTTAAGTTGTAGTGACTTAAAATAGCAATTTTTTTAACAATTACCCATGTGCAAATGCTAATGCAAATCCATTTTATTCAGTATAGGTGTGTATTGTAATAGAATAGTTACACTGAAATGGGTTTTGTTTGTTTTCCTGAATAATGAAGGGTGAATATTGTAGAATAACAACTGCAGTGATTTAAATGTGCTTTTTCTCAGCCTGCACCTGCCTGGACCACCTTTCGTGTGGGACTGTATTGTGGGGTCTTCATTGTCCTGGCTGTCGCCTTTGTCCTTACTGGTACAGTTTTTTAACCTTGTTTCACACTTAGTCCATGTGCATCTTGCTACACACATTTCATAATGTATAAATTCCAGCATTTCTGCTGATATGCCACTCATTTATGATAGAACAGTTCAGTAATTTATACAGCCTTGTTGATAATCCAACTGTTTGACTGATCCTTCCCTTTCAGGTGCTTTTTTCATTCGTAATCAGAACATCTGGCCACTGGTACGCATCTACCGTGGCGGTTTCCTGTTGATTCAGTTTCTCTTCCTCTTGGGGATTAACACTTATGGCTGGAGGCAGGCGGGTGTCAATCATGTGCTGATCTTTGAGCTGAACCCTCGAAACAATCTTTCACATCAACATCTGTTTGAGGTGAGACACTTAATGTTGAAGGGAACCTTTCAGGAAGCCTGTAAATACGCTGCCTTTTAAAAGTTTGGGGTCTGTTAGATTTTTTGTTGGTTTGTTTTTTAAAGAAGTGCTTACAACGGCTGCATTTATTTAATGAAAAATCCAGTAAAAACAGTAGTATTGTGAAATATTATTATAATTTAAAATTCTATTTTAATGGAATCTATTTCTGTGATGCAGAGTCATTGTCACATGATCCTTCAGAAATCATTTGTGCTGCTCAATATGTTATGTTAAAACTGATATAACTCTTTTCAGAATTCATTGATGAATAGAAAGTTTACAAGAACAGAAATTTTTAGAAATAGAAATCTTTTGTAGCATTATAAATGTTTTACTGCCAGTTTTGATCTATTTAATGCATCCTTGCTAAATAAAACTTCAGTTTCTAAAAATAAACTAATAAATCTTTGGTCTTTTTTCCCTTTCTCTTGCTGTAGATCGCTGGGTTTTTGGGGGTGTTGTGGTGTCTCAGCATCCTATCCTGTCTGTTTGCGGACTACACTTGGCTCCCTATGCAGGCGAACCCCCTAATCCTCTACGGCTTCATGGTGCTCTTCCTTATCAACCCCTTCAAAACTGCCTACTACAAATCCCGTTTCTGGCTCATCAAACTTCTGGTGAGAGACAAAACCATTACATTTTATAAATATACAGCTTCTATAGCCACAAAAAAATTTATGATAAATTGTGAAAAACCTTTTATGCCAACATAATGTGGGCGGCATTGGCTATTGCATGCTGTTAATTGGCTCCATGCAGATATGCAACACCCGTATTTTATGATCCAATCAGTTTCAGATGGATTTAAAAAGTCCCAATTTCTTCTCAATAAAAATGTGTCAGATTACATGTAAAGTGGGTTATAAACAGCATTTGCAATTATCATATCCTGTCTTGTTTAAGACGATAAAATGTTAATGTTTTCACTGGAAGTACTCTGCTAATAGCAAAACCACCTGTTCAAACACATTTCTAACAAATTCAGTTAAATTAGCTAAGAGCTAATTGGCTCATTTCAATGCACAAACAGCTTCATGCATTTCATCTTCTCTGTCTGTTTCTATTAGTTTTATAGTAGGAATAATTGTTTTCCCCTTGGCCTGTGTGAAAAAAGATAGTGTGTGCATGTACACTACGGTTCAAAAGTCTGGAGTCTGTAAGATTTTTTTAAATAATTTTTTCTTGTATGCTCACCAAGGCTGCATTTATCTGATCAAAAATGCAGTAAAATATTGTGAAATATTATTACAATTTAAAATAACTGTTTTTTCTTTTAATATAAATATAAATGAAAATGTAATCTATTTCTGTGATGACAAAGCTGAATTTTCAGCAGTCATTACTCCAGTCTTCAGTGTCCTTCAGAAATAATTTTAATAAGCTGATTTGGCACTCAAGAAACATTTCTTATTTTTTTAGTCTTGAAAACAGCTGTGCTGTTTTTTTCCCCATTTATTTATTTATTTTCTTTGCAGAAACCGTATTACATTATTTTCAAGATTCTTTGATGAATAGAAAGTTCTAAATAACAGCATTTCTTTGAAAATAGATCTTTTGTGACATCATTTATTTCTTTCAAAAAATATATTACTGACCCCAACCTGTGTGTATAGAGTGTTTCAGTGAGGTCTTTGCGCGTACATATGTGTGATTATGTGCGTGTCTCTGTGTGAGGTGAGGGAAAATAGATTGCAGCTCTATCTCTGCGGATGTGAAGACTGTGCCTGTGCAATCATTATTGGGATGGAGCCATCAGCAGCCGCCTGCCTCTGTCTCACTGCCCTCCCCACATCTAATTGACCTAGACTGGAGCCTTATTCCTTGGAGCACACGCAGGCACACACACACTTCCTGTATATTAAAACCGACATGTACTGATGGCCAAACAGTAGGTGGCTTTCCTCCTAGAGCTCAAACGTGCTTACACACTCTAGCTGTGCATCGCACATGCAGCTGTAACCTTGAAATGTACCTCACGTTTAGACCTGTATGTTTAAAAGCATTTTTGTGGACCGCATTCACCTGTTTCATCAGGTAAAAATAACTGATCAGGGTTTGTGTGGGGAGAAATTGATTTTCACTGGCATTTGAACCTCAAGAGTATGATGGCATAGATCGGTGTAGTGCAAAACTGTGTCGCTGGGAAATGTCAGCAGTAGCCTGAAGGCTGAGAGAGGTAAAATTTCATTTCATAGGGTCGTGTGATTGAGCCACGGAAAAATATGTGGAAAAAACTATGTGACTCAAGGGCAACAAAGGTAACTAAGTTAGCATGTAGCCTGTATGTATAGTATATATATAGTGTGTGTGTGTGTGTGTGTGTGTGTGTGTGTATATATATATGTGTGTGTGTGTATATGTATATGTATTTATTTATTAAACGTATTTATTTTTTCACTAATTAATTTCTTTTATTAGTCTAATTGTGTATTTTTTTTTATTGCTCTAAGTTCTATGTGCATGCCTATAAAAAGTTCATCTTTGTTTTTATCTTTTATTAGTAAACCCATATTAGTTTACTATAATTTTCCATTTTCAACCTTTTAGTACTTTTTAATTTTTCAACCTTTTAGTATTGAAATTATTAATATTATTAATATTATTTTCTACATTTGAAGGCAAAGCTGCTGGTACTGTTTACCCTGAAGTCACTTTGGAAAAATACTTCATTCAATAATTCATGATCTATATCCAAATAACTTAATTCAACATGGCATAAAGCCTATTTTAAAATGGTTTTTAGCATTAAAAATGGTTAGTATTACTTTTCTCATGTGCATTACTCAATCACAGGCAGCTGTGTATACAGTATATATATATATATATATATATATGGTCATGTGACAAACATGATGCACAGTTTGCTAGATTAATGGTGCAACACATCCAACCCCATCATTACTTATACACAGTTAAAGCTGGTTTATTGGTGAAGAAGCTGATGATATTGCAGATGACCAGCTAATAAAAACCCCATTGATTTGCTTTCAGCCAGCTGAGTTCTCATTAAGATTTTCGCTCGCTGTCTCATAGAGTTCACTCTGCCTCAGGGATAAGCTGTTATACATAACCTCATTTTAAGAGAAAAAACACTTGTGATGATTTCTCCTGTTTATTATTGTCCTCAGTGATTACCTTAAGCACTGTATACAGTATAAATATTTAAACTTCATATTTTCCTTGTTTGTAGTTCCGTGTGTTCACCGCCCCATTCCACCGTGTGGAGTTTGCAGACTTCTGGCTGGCAGATCAACTCAATTCTCTGGTCATTGTTCTGTCGGATCTGGAGTATCTGGTCTGTTACTACAGCATGGAGCTGCAGTGGGGAGATCGCAGCGGCTTACTGCCCTCCACATATGGTAATTGATTCAGAACGAAGCCATCCTGTATTGTGCTGATTCAAGTTTTGACTGACTGAGCCATTCATGTTGAACCATCCTAATTTCAGCATTCGATGTAATGGTAGATGAATGGCCGGTTATGATTAGTTGCTCTTGCACATGAATTAAGATTGTACTGGCAGTGTCAACATAGACAGGAGTTCTTCATGTTCAGTGGAGTTTATCATGTGAAATGGACCAGGAAATTCAGAACATCAGCGGCTGTCTAATGGTGCAGAAATGTGTCTCACCAACTCAGGAATATAGGAAAATACTGAGAAAGAAGAGGAGGGAAAGTGCGTGAGCAAGACGAAGAGAGAGTAAGAGAATGTGAGCAAAAGAGCTCAACAGTACGGTCTGGTCAAGTATTAGTAGTTCAGATTTTTACTTCCAAATATGATGAATAGGCCCAAAATATTTGGAAAATTATTTCTTAATTTAGTTTATACTTTTATATTTTTTGTAAAATATTTTATACAAATATTTTGTATTAATGTATTATTAGTAGTAGTATTATATCATTTCAATGTAATTTTTGAAAAAGATAATATATCTCTGTGACCGTTATAAATTCACAAACACACATTTTCTGGCTTTCTTGCAATTTTGACAACATTTTTAATTTCTGTATTTACATGTTTTTGTATATATGAAAATATATTTCAGGTTATCAAAACTAAATGCATAAGATTTCAAGACAAAATCCTAATTGTTAAGTCCTGTGCTATTTTATAATCATCATTTAATTTGTAGAAATACATATAAAAATGATGGTTTTATGTTTGTATATGCTTTAACATTACTACAATATTGAGAGTACAGTCTTGTGCATTCATAATTATCTCCTCCTACATAAGGTGATGAGAGGTGTAACAGCTATTCTTATGGAGTTCGGGCCATCATCCACTGTCTACCTGCCTGGCTGCGGTTTGTTCAGTGTCTGCGACGTTACCGTGACACCAGGAGGGCCTTCCCTCACCTGGTGAATGCTGGGAAATACTCCACCACCTTCTTTGTGGTCACATTTGCAGCCCTCTACAGAACTCATAAAGGTAAGAACAAACAAACTGAAATTAATTACAAATATTATGTAATCATGTAACCAGTACATTCTCTTATTAAAGCATGTTACAATTGTTATAATCAGCTTGACAAACAACAGTATGAACAGTCTGTGCCAAGTTTGGTGAATGTAGTTTAAAGGTATAGTTCACCCAAATAATGAAAATTATATCATTAATTATTCACCCTCATGTAGTTCCAAACCTGCAAGACATTCGTTCATCTTTGGAAGATAAATTAAGATATTTTGATGAAATCTCAGAGCTTTCTGACCCTGCATAGAAGGCAACGCAACTACCACATTCAAGGCCCAGAATGGTAGTAAGGACATTGTTAAAATAGTCCATGTTACATCAGTGGTTTAACCGCAGTTTTAATAAAGACTTTATTTAACAATTTCTACTCTTCCGTGTCAGTCTCCGCTGCCGTTCTCAACAGTACCACAACACAACGCATGTCTGAAGATTTCAACAGAGGATGACTTGCAATTTTTTGCTTAGCCTTACTTATTTGAACCACAATATACAGACAATGAACTAAGATGGATGGATGTTCTACGTCAGAACGCCGGCTCCTGCGTCAGCAACACCACACACATGCGTTATGGTACTCTCATGAATGTGCATCGAAGACTCACATGGAAATTGTTGAATTGTTGTCATTATTTTTGTTTTCTTTGCATACAAACAGTATTCTCGTAGCTTCATAAAATTGTGGTTGAACCACTTATGTCACATGGACTATTTTAACAATGTCCTTACTACCTTTCTGGGCCTTGAACGTGTCCGTTCCATTGCTGTCTATACAGGATCAGAAAGCTCTCGGATTTCAGCAAAAATACCTTAATGTGTGTTCCGAAGATGAACAAAGGTCATACGGGTTTGGAAAGACATGAGAGTGAGTAATTAATGACAGAATTTTCATTTGTGTGTGAACTATCCCTTTAAAGAAGATTAAAGAAGCTCTAGAAGTTTTGTCTTGATGGAATCTGGTTAAAGCTTATTTGCATTAATATAATGAATATGTTGTTTTACTGTTCTGTGAAAATTGCTGTTATAATCTAGCACTGACTTATGTAAAATGTTCAGTACAAAGAGAGCACCTGGGTGCCATTGTTTGCCTACAGATACAGATGAATGGGCAACAAAAGCATGTTTTGAGAAAACCAGAGAAAGAAAAAAATGACCCTGAACCTGTCCTTGTCTGTTAGAGACTTGGTTTATATAGCAAGATAAACAGCAAGCATCTAAGTTTTATGTTAGAGATGAATTGCACAAAGACTGGGACATTTTTATAACCTAATAAGAGCTGTAGGAAACAGGTTGGAATTGCATTTATGCATTTAAAAAAGAGCTGCCTGCTTTATAAAAACTCATTTGTCGCCAAACACCACATTATGCATGATTCGATCACAGTAATTATCCTACGTTCGGTTCATATGAACTCTTAAAGAGTTTAAAAGCATGCCATTAAGATTCCAGACATATCCCACGTGTCTATCTACAATTACCATCTGATTATTCTGCCACTGAAATCCATCTGAAGTGCAAAGACTGCTGCTCAAACATGTCTTTCTCTGTCTGTCTCACTCTCTTATCAAACAGTCAGCCTCCATGCCTTCCCGTATCTCTTCAGAAAGACAACTTCAGCCCAAATCAATCTCAAAGCATTCGGCTAAACCGTTTCATCCATTTCATTATTTATATGCACACATGGTCGTTTCAGTTTTTTTCCCTTAAATGTCAGTGTTTAAATATCAAGCATGGGTGCATTTTGCTCTAGACTTCTGTGTGTATTAGAAACATCTCTGTATCAGTGATATAGATTAAGTCTGGACTGCAGCCCAGAGCATCTGCCTCATATGACTAAAAGAGGCCGTATTTAACCCAACATGGCAACCTTGCCATGCATTTGATGCATTCATTAGGATCCGCTCGAGGCAGAGAGCCTGTTCCTGGCAGAGAGGCAGTTTAATATATGAATTCATCAGAAATCACCTCCATCATTTGTGCCCTGATTGAAACTGATGTTCACTCTAGTAAGCTGCCCAGATAAATGAGTCTGTGGATTCAATTTATTTTAGTTTTCATGTAAGCGAATCCCAAAAGAATGCAACATGTCTGAGCATAAGTAATGTTTAAATTAACATAGTCATGAGCCAAACAGGTGTGTGGGATTGAGAATAGTGGTAGAGATGAAAAGCATTACTGTTTCCTTACGTGTAGAGTGGCTTAATGGTTAAAATCTAGATTTGCAACCTAAAGGTTGTAGGTTCAGTCCCAATGATTTGTAAGTCTTTGTGAACTATAATTATTGAAGTTTAATGTGTTACTCACCCTGCACCCTGGCATTATAACTGCAAGTTTTGCATTTGTAAGTGGTTCTTATCCGTCAATAACCCCATTACACCTGCTTTCATGTTTAGTGCTCTATTTCATTGTAGAAGTGATTGTAGAAATGGTAGAGAGTCGATATCCTCAAAGATTTCATTTAAACTTCAATGAGAAATGTCAATTTGAGCTTAAGCTCAGCTGAAGAACTCAATGACATCCAACAAGACAGAGCAAAATGCAAACAGAAAATGCTATGTGAACAAAAAGGATTACAGGGGAGAGAAAATATGAAGCGAGAGAGTGAAAAAGAAAAGAGGAAATGAAGCAAAATGGACTATCCAGAGGAGGTTGAGCTGTAATTGCCTGCCTGTGGCGAGACAGAACAGTGTGAGTGCGAGTATTGCTAGAATAATGATGAAGCTCTGAAGCACTGAAATATGATTGGATTTTTTTTCTCTCTCACTCTGTATCAGACCTGGATCTTTGATCAAAACAAGCATTTTAGAGGAGAGCTATAGAGATTTGTACATGGACAGGTATTTACCTGCTCTGATGGCTGCATTAGTCAGGTTTAAACTGTTTCATGCGGACCACATGTACCCAGGAATACATATGGTCCAGATGGAGAATGCAGGAATGATTGACTATGTAGTCACATATCACAGCTTGATTTTAAACTTCACTGTTGTAATGTTAACCCCCAGCATGTGCATAAATATTACAGTTTAGTACAGATTAATCAGTTAACATACATGGTCAGTATTGGTTTGGAATTTTAAATTTAATGATGCTCTTTTTATTCTATTCATTTGTTTTTTTTTTTCTTTTGTCATGTAGCCATCATGTGGTCAGGTGCAGAGATTGACACATTCTATTCCCCATTCTGTACTCTATTACCAAAGACACCTAAAAACTGTCAGTGTTGAAAGGATGAAAACAATTTATTGTGTGTCCGAGCACTCTGAGGGATGTTGAGAGGTATTTGTGGTCCTCTGGGAAATGGGTTTGGGTCATCGTGGTTCATGTTTACATAAATCTGCCATTGTATTAATGAGATGAACCCAAAGTTCAGTGTGACCAGTAGCGGTCGACTGATATGGGTTTTTTAATGGCCGATGCTGATATCTAAAGAGTAGGGTGGCGGATGGCCTGTATTTACATATAATGATGACAAATGAGATCGAATATTTGATTAAAATTCACTGAATAATTGAAAATAGAAATCTGTATTATTGGTTGACAAGGAGTTTGGAATTGATACAGTAAGGAACTAACACTTCTGTTTATTGGCCTAACTTGCACAGTTATTGGTGAATGCTGTTGAGCTCAATTTGACCATAATTTGCATATCCATCTGATATATATCCAATTGTCTTATTGAAAGGAAAAATATAATGGGCCAAATACTTTCATGAACATTACTGTTCAAAAATTAGGGGTCAGTAAGAGTCTTTTATGCTCACAATGGCTGCATATATTTGAACAAAAATACAGTAAAAATCATGTGAAACAAATACAGTATAAATACAGTGAACACCATGTGAAACACTGCAGTTTAAACTGTAACTTTTAACCTTTATATTTGAACATTCATAATAACGCTTGTGCTGCTTAATATTTTTGTAGGGGCCACCATACTTTTTTTTTTCAGAAACAAAACAGCATTTATTTAAAATTGTTTTTTTTGTCACAATTCCTTGCCAGTTTTGATAAATTTAATGTGCCATTGATGAATGAATGAATGTATATATATATTACTGACTACTGACTCCAAGCATTAGAACGGTATAGATAATCAACAAAGTTTGCTTTCATAGTATTTTATTTGTCAAAAAATATTAGTCAAGGTTTCAATCACCATAAAAATGTTTTTTAGTGTTTCATGACCATTTTCCAGCCTCTTTCTGACCTCTGAATAACTCGAGCTATTTTTGCTCCTGTACCTTTAAGACTTCTAAAGGTAAATGCCTTAGTTTTTGTAGGTGATCTAGTTTTGGTAAGGTTGAGCAAAAGGTTTTGTCAAAGTGCAGTAAAAATGCTCTGTCATGTGTATTAAATATAGAAATATCTTGCATTGTAAAGTGTGAAACAAAAGACTGAAAATCAGCCCAAGCTTCTCCAGATTGCCTGTGGCCTGTGTGAAGAGATTAGACTAGCATTGCACTCTTAAAGGGTCTTATGGGGTGAACATCTGGATTTTCGGGTAATCTCAGGACACAATATTGAACATGAGCACTTGTAGATCAGAGCTGAAATAGGATGGACAGGGCTATTATGTGTTCTGGCGAAAAATGTGTTTCCTGGCGCCTGGATGGCAGCGTGTGAAAGGCTTTATTAAGACTGATGGGCCTGTTCCAGATTCAGCCCCGTCTGCTGTCTGAGGCCTAAGAGATTTAACCATTCACTGACCTGAGACCTGCACTGTTCCACTATCTGATAAATGTCTCGCCCCCTATTAACTTAAGCTGATGCTCTAATATTGTACTGCAGGATGCCTCTTACTCTTATATTTCAGCTCTGCCTACTCTGTTTTTGTATTGTATTGCCCTTGTGCTAAATGGATATCTTCTGGCATGGTTCCATATGTTCTCCCATGCCTCATCATCAATAATAGCTGCTAATTCCTTTTCCCATACAGCATTTATCCTCTGCCTTTCAACAGATTATGCGCAGCTACTTCTGGGTTATTTATGTTTAAGGGATGTATTATTGGTAATATTGGTCTTAGTTGCAGCAAAAATAGCTGCTGATCATATTACATGTAGTTCTTTTTATATATTTGTTATAAATGAGAATAAGGAGTTAGAATATTAAGAACTAGATGTGATGTATTAATTTTGTGAAAGAGTAATGTAAAAATAGCTGGATATACACTGTTGTTCAGAAGGTTCGTAAGATTTTTTTGATGTTTTTGAAAGATAGTCAAGTCAAGTCACCTTTATTTATATAGCGCTTTTAACAATGCAGATTGTGTCAAAGCAACTGAACAGCATTATTTAGGAAAATAGTGTGTCAATAATGCAAAAGGACAATAGTAAACACTAATTTTTGAGTTAAAGACAGTTCATCATTGAATTCAGTGATGTCAACATCCAGCTCAGTTCAGTTTAAATAGTATCTTTGCAATCAATTGCAATCAAGTCAACACAGAGAAACAAATACAAACATAATTAGCGTAGCTGCTGTTCCAACCAAGCAAAATTGATTTGTTTAACCCAAACTAAAGAATAATAATGTGCATTTGATTAGATATAACTGCAGTAAAAGATTATGAGATGCATTATTTGAATGCTTGGCCAAAGAGATGTGTCTTTAATCTAGATTTAAACAGAGAGAGTGTGTCTGAACCCCGAATGTTATCAGGAAGGCTATTCCAGAGTTTGGGAGCCAAATGCGAAAAAGCTCTACCTCCTTTAGTGGACTTTGCTATCCTAGGTACTACCAAAAGTCCAGCGTTTTGCGACCTTAGGGAGCGTGATAGATTGTAGCGTGGTAGAAGACTAGATAGTCTTCAAAGCTCACCAAGGTTTCATTTATATGATCCAAAATATACTGTCACCACAATATACAGTATATTGTCATACATCTATCTGATCAGAAATGCAGTAACAATATTTTAAAGCAGTTTAAAAGAACTGTTTTCTATTTTAATATATATTTAAATGTAATTTATTCATGTAATGGCAAAGCTGGATTTTTAGCATCATAACTACAGTCTTCAGTGTCACATGATCCTTTAGAAATCATTCTAATATGCTGATTTCAGTTTGCAAGAAACTGCATTTTTATATGCATATGCAGCAGAGAGTGAAAATAGTGCTCACTTGTTCACTAGATTTGAGTTTATATAAAAATATTTTTATTGTTCTTGTAACTTTAATTAAAGGTGCGTCAAAGCATTTTAGTCATTGTATCATTGTTTTAATAATATAAACACCTTATTATATTACATGGTCATTTGAGATTGAATGACCTTTCAGTGACCTGGATGAATAACCACAGACACAATGGCATTAGTACTGCAAACACTGGTCTCAAACAAAAACAAAACATGTAGTATCTGGAATCCAACTGATGTTTGTTCGAAGTGTAGATGGATGGATGGATGGTAAACCGTCTCCCTCTAGTGGACATAGTGGTAATATCAAATTCACTTCCTCTGTTTCAGATCAGAAACATGCTGATGCTGAGGTGTTTTTCTACATGCTGATCCTGTCTTCAGTCGTCAGTTCACTCTACACACTGATCTGGGACCTAAAGATGGACTGGGGTCTTTTTGACCGCAATGCAGGCGAGAATACCTTCCTGAGAGAGGAGATTGTTTACCCACATAAAGTAAGATATGGGAGAAAATAATATACCATCTTAATGCAGCATATGGAATGTCAAAACATATAGTAAAATGTGTTGAGCAATGGTCAAAAATCTGCTCTGGTGAGCACAATCTTCCGAGGAGCAAAGCAAAATAATCCTGCTAATCAGTTGGTTTGCTGCTCTTAAGCTGGTTTAGTTGGTGCCCAAAACCAGTTGGAGCCCAGCAGACCAGCTTAGGTTGGTTTAAGATGTTTTCATTCTCAGCAGGGATATTTATCTGTTACCACCAGTTGTCATGATGTCATTTCCTCTTCCTTTTAGGCCTACTACTACTGTGCCATTATAGAAGATGTGATCCTGCGCTTCGCCTGGACACTGCAGATCTCTCTGACTTCCATGACTGCCATTCCTTCCATCGAGGACATCGTGGTCACCATTTTAGCTCCTCTGGAAGTGTTTAGGTGAGATGATTGTGTAAAACAGGGATTCCCAAAATGTTCATCAGCTGAATCCCTTTGAGCTAAAAAGTAACCCCTCAGATTTTAAGTTACTATTTCAATCATTTAACTACACATTCACATCCTTGGTTCTCTATTGGTGGTTAATGGTCACATGACATGCCGGTAAAGAAACAAAATGTTTTTTTGTTTGTTTGTTTTTTGACATTTTTCTGATTTAAGTAATTATTAGTTTTTCATGAATTCACAAACCCCCTCCAGTTCCCTCACAAAGCCCATTTTTGGAAACCTTGTTGTAAAACATTCTCTCTTAATCTTTAGAATTTTGTTTCTCTCCCTGTAGACGTTTCGTGTGGAACTTCTTCCGTCTTGAGAATGAGCACCTGAATAACTGCGGTGAGTTCCGAGCGGTGCGGGACATCTCAGTGGCTCCTCTAAACGCTGATGACCAGACGCTGCTGGAGCAGATGATGGACCAGGAGGATGGAGTCCGGAACAGACAGGGTAAAAAGAGCTGGAAACGGAGCTACAGCCTGTCCTTACGACGACCCCTGCTATCCTCACAGTAAGAGATTTGTATATTAAATTTTTTTATATTTTTATTTTTACATTGTATATATAATACATATTTCATAGAGTTATAAGTAGGCAGCTTTGTTTAGTACACCTGTATACAATTCATATTCAATAAAATTACTGATAAGACTTAAAAAACTTTCATAAACAACTCATTAACAAACAAGTAATCCAATAAAAAAACTTATTGATTTTATTCAAGTTAAAAAAAAATATTATTTAACTTCACCAAGATCCAATTCACAAAAAAAAAAAGTAAAAATAAAAACAAATTTTATTCAAGTTAAAAATTATATAATAATTATATAATAATCCAATTAACTGAAAAAAGTTACAAATTTAAAACTAATTGATTTTATTCAAGTTAAAAAAATAATATTTAACATCACCAGTAATCCAATTCACTGAGAAAAATGTTAAAAACATAAAACTAGTCGGCCCCCATAGCCTTGTGGTTAGTGTGTCGACATGTAAAAATAAAAACAAATTTTATTCAAGTTAAAAATTATATAATAATTATATAATAATCCAATTAACTGAAAAAAGTTACAAATTTAAAACTAATTGTGTGTGTGTGTGTGTGTGTGTGTGTGTGTGTGTGTGTGTGTGTGTGTGTGTGTGTGTGTGTGTGTGTGTGTTCTTTTGGGGAGCGATAGCTGATGTTAAACAAAAAGTTTATATTCTGCTGTCCTCCTGCTGATGTATAGAATTGTTATTTTTATTGATACTTTGACCAGTAAAACTACTATAAGTAAACCTGACATTGCTGGTTAATATTTGAAATACTATTTGGGTAAAAAAAAAAACAAGATCAGATGATTCTGTGAACTATTTCAAATGCAATGATGCACTAAACTGAAAAGATTCAGGAATGCAGTAATTGTCACCCAACTGCAAACTGAATGGAAGTGGACACATTTTTATTGAACTAATGTGTGTCCTACATGGCTTTTTGTATCACTTATTAAGCATTGCCATTACCACTGCAAGCCAAAGAGGAAATGCAAACACTGCCAGTCGATTATAATTCTTATGGTTGTGATATCAGTTTTGTATTGTGGTAAACCATATGAAATGTTGTGCATCAAAATTAGTTCCAGTGTGGTGAGGAGACAGAAGCTTTTTCCTCACCAACATCTTAACTATGGTCACAATTTGATTATTTGTATGCTTGATGAATGTGGCAATATCTTTAGAATCAGTTTTACATTTTGATGAAAAAATGTGATTGTATGTGATCTATAATGTACATTTACAATGTACATTTTTGTGAGACAGGTATAACTACCTTGTCTTTCATTTTCATACATAGCCTCTGAATTTCAAACAACATATTTAGGAGAAAAGCATCTGTTTTTTTGCCTTTTTATCATAATGCTTCGATCGCAGAGAATGAAGACTCATTTTAACTTGCAATGACTTTTATTATGATTAATATCCATTGTTGTCATCAAAAAAAAAGAAAGAAAAGAAAACACCAGGGCTGTTTTAGCTGATATGCATGTATTGCTTACTTTTTTCAGCTTTTAGTTTATTTAGATACTCTTTCAGCAGCATGCGTCCTTGTATTTCTGCAAGCACAATCTTTCAGCTGTAACTAAAATCAAATGAAAAGATGGATTTGTCTTCACAATCTCTCTTCTCACTTGCTCTTTAAAAGAAAAGTGTTAGTGCTAACGAAAAAACAATGTACAGATAGCAGGCGTTGTGTTTGTGAGTAACATTTTAGTTTACACATTTAAGGCTAAATTTAAATGTTCATAGTTTGGATTACAAATCTAACAGAAGAAAGGAAAAACTACATGTGATTTGTGGTTGCAAAAGAATGCTATCCTCATTGAAAATGTGGTGTTACTGTGTTAACGTGCGGTCCTTTTGTCCTTTAATATTAATGAAATGTCAATCTTCTTGTTCTCAAAATGATCCTTTGGCACACTGTGTCTTACTTTGCTGTCTTTAGTTCTTGACTCTCAGAACTGACTGAATCCTTTATTGAGTAGACTATCGAGTGGCACACAAAAAAAATGTAGAAATGATACACTTTCTGAACAAATATCACCGTATATGGATGCTGAGCACAAATTTGCCCCATCCAGTGCTTTTTGTAATGCATTGCCAATTGTCTTGCCTGCATGCTGCTTTTGTTTTGCACTGTAAATTGTTTAATTTTGTACATTTTAAATGTGTAAAAGAATGTCGGTTAATTTATAGTACCGGTACTAATTATTTATGTACAAGGTGGAGACTAGCTTTAAATGAGCAGTATTATGGTAGATGAAGGGCATTTTTGATTAATCACAATCCCACAGTCTTACATGTGAATTCTGTCGAAATAGTGTAACTTAAGAAGCATTAGTGAATATGGAATGTGATCGGTTTTATCTACAGTAGGTGTATATTTCTACTCATAACACTTTCATCCCCAGGGTTTGTGCCCATTTGACAGGATTTGTTGGGTGACGGTGGTTTTAGGTCGATATCGTGAACTGATCTGGCTGGGGAGGATTGAGAGACGATTGGGACACGTTAACATTCTCATTAACACCCTATCTAGGGGTTCTGTTATGAGACGAACCCTCAAAATGTAGGGTTTTGATTTTGTACTTTTTTTTTTTTTTTTACTATTTCAAATACAGAACTGGAATAATACACAAGCCCTGACATCATTTCTTCATGGGGGGGGGGAAATCTATGTCGACTTGATTGCTTGCTAAACCCATGATGTTAAGTGCTTGATATCTCTGCATCTTTTCTAACTCCTATCTTGATGTTGTATCCCTTCTTAAATACTTGACTGTGACATTGTTTGTAGTTGATAGATGGTTGTACTTTTGCGTAAGTAAAGACTTACAGAAAAATAGAAAAAACTTGTGGTTCTGTGATTAAAAGAGATATAAAAAGAGAGAAAATGTCTTGAGTTGACCCTTTCACAGAGTAGTTTGTAAATGTTGAGTGTATTCCTATGATGGTTCCACTGATGATCTCATTTGTGTTTCTGTATACACTTTGGTGATCCTGTCTATTTGGGTTTTATAAACCACGCTTATTTTTAAAACCTTCATTTTGTGTCAGCCTTTTTATTTTACTTTTCAAAAACAAGAGACTGACTCCAGTAACTAATTTAATGAATATTCAAATGTGATTTTTTTTAATGTATGACTAAAGCAAGAGTAAACATGACACTTGTCATGCAATTTCTCATTTAGAGTGTGGTGAACTTTGACATTCAAAAACGAACCTCTGATACATACAAATGAATAATAGTGTAGAAAATGTAGTCTTTATACAAGAATATATAATACAGTTGATCAGAATTACTGGTCAAAGCAATTAATGAGTCAGAAAACATTTTAAATCAATGCAAAACTTTTCTACAACATTCTCCTAGTGAAAGAAAAACGTGTGCAGAATCCCATTCATGCCTGCGGCCGCTGAGATCCCATACACTCCGCCTTCTTTCGGTTTGTGCGCATGCGCTTTTCAATTCTCCACAACTCCCTCCGTTTCCGGACGCTAGGATCGAGCGCACAGCTGCCGCCGAATTTAAAGAGACATACATCATTTGTTTAACTAATACGACCATTGGGGGGGAAAATTACATGCATTGTTTCTGGTTCTCTTCGCGGGTATCGATGGGGGCTCGTCGTTGTTCTGAACACTTGACGGTGTAGTTTTAGTAGGGATTGAGAGGTCTAAACACACTTGCGGGCTTGAGCTGGAAGTCTATACTGGAGTAACTGGGTGGCCGTCGATAAAGTAGACCGGACTTGTGGGGGGAAGAGAGCTGGGTGGCCCCCCGATACGAACTGATTTTTGTACGCCAGAACAACCTGCAAACACGGAGGGACGGTAATTCATCGTGGCTTCGGTGGCTGTTGGTGGGGAAGGAAACACACCATGGCGAAAATTCAGGCTCGCAGCAGCACTGCGAAGCAAATCAACCAGATCCAAGACAAGGCCTATGTGGTTCAATAATTTTACTTGTGTGACCTTTCTGAATGAAGCAAGACATTTAGAGAAAAACAATTCAGGGTAGATCCTTTTTTTTTAGGGTAGCTCTAACGGGACTTGAATAGGTCGTGAAGCAAGTGTTGCATACTAGAATGCAAGTTTGCTAAAAGAATGCCTAAATAGCTGTTTGGCAATTTTTTTTGTCTTTTCAATAACACGCATGGACTTTCTGACAGAAGACAAACGAAGAGGCAGAGCAAGTAATTTCATTTTAATGAGTGACTGCAAAGACAAGTATTTTTTGTTTGGAATAATGTGCACTGATGAACTGTGCACAATAAGACAGGAATGTGCATTAAGAGAGAAAATGGGGTTGATATTGATTTCATGTTGACTTTGGCCCTGTCCCAAATGGGCCCCTTGCTAGCTTCCTTCGAGTTCACACTTTGGTGACGTCATGCCACATAGACTGTCAGGGAGTAGTCCAAATGACATTAGCTTTGTGTTTTAGAATAAATGGGCTGTTATTTCATGAAAATCTATAAGAGCTTTATTATTGCTTCGTTTTGATTGTCATGGTCAACATTTATAGTTGTAATAACTCCAAAATAATAATAATAAATTCATTACATTTATGTACCACAATTCTGGATATTTCCATTCAAAGCAACTTTACACAGTTTTACAATGAATTCCGTTTGCTGGTGAATTGTTCATACCTTCAAACATACCAGTTATGACTGTTTTATACCATGTTTTCTCAAATGCAACAGACAGCTTATAAGCTATTTTTTAACAAAACTAATGCTTTTATTCATCAAGGGTGAATAAAATTGATCAAACATACACTGAAGACATGTTGCAATGGATCTCTATTTCAAACAAATGCTGTTCTTTTGAACTTTCTATTCATCAAAGAATCCTGAAAAAATGTATCAGAGTTTACAATAATAAAGCACAATCATTTTCAACATTTATAATAGTAAGAAATGTTCTTGAGCACCAAATCAGCATATTAGAATGATTTCTGAAGAAACGTGACACTGAAGACTGGAGAAATGGCTGCTGAAAATTCAGCTCATTGAACAATTTAAAAAAAATTAATATATATTTTATTTTAAAATATATTAAAATAGTAAACAGTTATTTTTGATTGTAATATTGAATGAATAAATGCAGTCTTGTTAAGCATAAGAGACTTATGCATTAGAAAACATTTAAAAAACACTATATTACATTAGTTTTGTTATAAAATATTGTTGCATCTCCATTAAATAAATGCACCTTTGGTGAGTGTTAGTTTCAAAAACATTCATGAAATCTTCCCGACCCCAACCTTTTGAATTGAAGTGTATGTTTTGCATAAAAGTTATGTATTCTTGTTCTTCTGTTGTAATAAACCTATGTGGGGATGTTGGCTTTCTTGGTGTATTAAAGTAAGGCTGTTCTTTGGTTTCTTTTCTCTCAGGTCTCTCCGGGACCAGGAAGGAGCACGGGCAGCTCTGTGGTTAGTGCCTCTTCATCAGCAGTGGCTGAAGCAGGATCAGCTCCGAATGAAGCTGTGACCTCTCCGGAGAGCATCGCTTCATCATCTGGACCTCCTGAACAATCAAGCAGGTTGTCACTTCCTCTGCCCAGCCGAGAGAGCCAATCACAGCCGGCCACCACGTCGGTGTCCCCTCCCACATCAGAGCCCAGTCCTGTGGAGTTTGATAGTGCCATCAGTTACGTCAATAAGATCAAAAACCGATTTTTGGACAACCCAGAAATCTACCGGGCCTTTCTGGAAATTCTACATACGTACCAGGTGAGAGCAATAGTGACATTTTTATCCTTTTTTTTTTTTTTCTTTTTTTTTCTTGAGGTTTGACCCTACCTGCAACCTTTTGTATTACCAGCCCAGATAATAACCGGTTGGCTACCACCAATATCACAGAGGAAGACTTTTGACTATCGACATAAAGTCTGGTCCACTATGCAGCATATTCTGGTCAAGAACTTTCCTTTTGTTATCTGCCCTTTAGATCAGCAAAAATGTCTGTAGCCTTTGTGATCTGAATTTCTGTCTCTGTAAAAGTATTACGTTCTCATAATTTCACAGACATTAAATATTAGGGCTGGGACAATAAATCGATGCATCGCAAATCGAAAAATGATTCTGCATCGATTCTGAAAATTTCCGAAGGCATCACGATGGCGCTACGTGCTTTAGAAATAGCCGTATTCTGCTTGCTTCCAGTTCACCCGCACCATTTGAACCTAAAATAATCATTCATAATGTAGAAAAGGTTGAAGCGAATTACAAGGATGTTCATAGTGGGCTGTGTTTACATTAATCTCACATCATAGAAGCATAAAAGCCGATGTCCAAGTACATTTAACCACTGACATTACTCAGCCGAACGCACAAGCGCTCCTCTTCGTAAGCATTTGAGTTTGCGGTTAAAAACTAGCCTAGAGCGCCATCTGCTGTTAAAAACTAAGCTCAGAATCGATTCGAGAGAGAATCACGATGCATTCTGAAAATCTCAGAATCGATCCATGAATCGCGATGCATCGATTTATTGTCCTAGCCCTATTAAATATACATTTCTGCTTGTGGATGTCTTGCGTTTCAGCAAGCCAATCAGATTGGAGTTTATGATTTTTAGCAGAGGGCTGCCTTTTTCACGCAGTATACACCAGACTGTCAATGAACGGACTGTGGGCTATCCGTGGGTGTTCTGTCTGAGGCTGAAACTAGGCTACTACCTACTAGCGCTAAAGGAAATAGACCCTTGAACTGTTTTGCTACCCATCCCGTAAACTTATCGATGTTCATTGATTTGTACGTCCTGTGTCCATCTGTAGAAGGAGCAGCTGGAGGTGAAGGAGAGCAGAGGGCGTAGCACTGGAGGAATGACCGAAGATGAGGTTTTCTCTAAAGTGGCAAGTCTTTTCAAAGGTCAAGAGGATCTGCTTGCAGAGTTTGGCCAGTTTTTGCCTGATGCAAAGAGATCTCTGGTTAGAAAATGACTTTTTAAACATTTCTTGCGCTTGTATCAATTTGCAACAAAAGGGTTTTCTCTTAAACATTTTAAGTTCTTCACACTGTCGTGCAAAAGTTTGGGGTCAGTAAGTTTTTTTTATTTTTTATTTTTTTATTTATTCATTCAGCAAGGATGTATCATACTGTACTGATCAACAGTGACAGTAAAACATGTATAATGCTATGAAATATTTCTGTTTCTTATTAGTTCCTTTGAACATTCTATTCATCAAAAGATTCCAAAAAAAAAGGGTGTCATTTTCTACAAAAAATATTAGGCAGCACAACTGTTTTCGACATTGATAATAAGAAAATAGTGTTTATTGAGCACCAAATCAGCATATTAGAATGGTTTCTGAAGGATCTTGTGACAATAAAGACTGGGGCAATGGCTGCTGAAAATTCAGATTTGCCATCACAGGAATAAATTACATTTGAAAATATATTAAAATAGAAAACTGTTGTTTTAAATTGTAATAAAATGTACAATGTTTATTATTATTATTATTATTTTTATTATTATTGATCAAACAAATACAGTCTTGGAGTGCCTAAGTCAATTCTTTCAAAACTATTAAAACATTTTACTGACACCAGACTTTTGAAAGGTAGAGTAAGTATTTATTTATTTATTTCTGACTGTGTCTTTGATTCCAGTTTACTGGAGGTTCTTTGCCTGGCAAAGACATTCTGAAGAAAGCAGGGGAAGAGGAAATGAATAAACTGAGCAAGAAGAGACCTAGACCCATGTTACTGCCCCACATGACCCCCCTTCTGAAGGTTAGAGTTCACAAAACTCTGCCAAAGCAGGGATACCATATGCCCCTGTGTCCTAAAGACCTGCAGTATATGCGGGTTACTTGTGCTTAAACAATGTATTTGTTTTTATTCACAGAAAAAAATGAAGTATTCCTGCTCCAAGGACCCATCTTTTGCCTCTGTCGGAAAGCATGGAGTTTTGCGGGAATTCACATTCTTTGACAAGGTGCGTTTCTTAAACAAAATTGCTCTGAAATGTACGTGGTAGTAAGTCGGCCATTGCCACAGGATTTAGGCCGAACTCCTGCAACTTGTGACTCCATTCTTGGGGTAAGAAATATTTAAATAGGGCATGTTTATTTAATCCTATTTGTTTTCATATGGTGCATTTCGCAGCCCTTTCATGTCGGTCATGAGTCATATGCCACTGGTGCCTCATTCTGTAGGAAGTTTCCAGAACTGTACACCCAGTTTAAGTCATTTTTGGGTGATAAAGAGCTGTCTCATGCCATCACTGGCCTCTCTGACCGCTACATGGAGGGTGGAGGCAGAGAAGTGGATTACGCCTCCTGTAAACGCCTGGGTTCCAGCTACAGAGCCCTGCCCAAGACCTACCAGCAGCCCAAATGCAGTGGCCGAACTGCTATATGCAAAGAGGTACTGCATTTTCAGAAATGGTTGAAATTGTGAAATGTTATGGAAGCAATGTAATGTTTGTACTGTTATGAATATAATTAATAATGCCATATAAGTATAATTATTATGTCTATATATTCGAAATTATTCATATTACTTCAGTATTTGTACTTATTGACAATATATAATAAATATGTGTTTGTGTGTTTTTTTTTTCTTTACTGCTTTAATGCATATTTCACCTCAGCAGTATGCTAATAATATAAGATAAAATGAAATGAAATGCAAATCTACCATTACAAAAATGTCAGCCATGCGGCCGTTAGGTCTTTAAAGGAGAGGCATTAATGATGACGCAAATCCTGGGTTGGTTTCGATCCACAGATAATGGTACAAATCTGCAGAAGCCCAAATCTCCATGAATCATTTGAAAAATGGGATGTTTCAGCCCCCACACTGCTCTTTTTTTCAGCTGAATTTGAATTGAAGCACTTATCATGAATAGCTCTTTTTCCAGGATGCCTGGAGAACCCAGTGGTGTCGCCGCCAAACGCTTGTTTGTAAACATTAATTTTGTATGTAGAAAATAAGCTAGATATTCATGCCAAATCTGAAGTGGCTGGTGTATAAAACATCTTTAAAAAGTGCAACCAGATATTGCTACGGCTTCAGTCATGGGGTCAGAAACCTGATGGTAGTACAAATGGTTTAAACTCATTGTTTTGTTGTAGGTGCTGAATGATACCTGGGTCTCATTCCCTTCCTGGTCAGAAGACTCCACTTTTGTGAGTTCCAAGAAAACACCATATGAAGAGCAACTTCATCGCTGTGAAGATGAGAGGTTTGAGGTAAGATGATCTCTTTGAAAAATATCATGAGTTTTAGGTTTCAACTGAAATTCAGTTGATTGTAATGTTTTTTTTTTTGGCTTTGTAGCTGGATGTTGTGCTTGAGACTAATTTAGCAACGATAAGAGTTTTGGAAAGCGTGCAGAAGAAATTATCCCGCCTTTCGCCGGAGGATCAAGAGCGCTTCCGATTGGATGACTGTCTTGGTGGAACTTCTGAGGTCATCCAGCGTCGTGCAATCTATCGTATCTACGGTGACAAGGCTCCAGAAATCATAGAGGGGTTAAAGAGGAGTCCAGCCACTGCAGTGCCTGTCGTACTCAAAAGGTTAACAAAAAAGTCTTATTTTTCTTTTCTCTCACCTAAATGACAATCAGGGTATCTCTACAGTTACATTTGACAGCAAAAGTAGTAGAATAGCTCAGAGGTCAACAACTTATTTATTGCTGCCCTTAGCTCACAGGGGGAAAAATCATTGAGATCTACAAGACCGTATACAGAGTTAATAAATCCGGCATGGTTAATCAAAAATGAAAACAGTGGATGTCATTTTTACACTATCCCTAATTTTGCAGTCATTTGTGGTTCTAAAGTTTTAAGAGTTCTTCAGTCTAGCAGAAATTACATTTTGACTGAAGAATAAATGGATGATTTTCTTGCCATAGATTGAAAGCTAAAGAGGAGGAGTGGAGGGAGGCTCAGCAGGGCTTCAACAAAATCTGGAGAGAGCAATATGAGAAGGCGTTTCTGAAATCACTGGACCACCAGGGTGTCAACTTCAAACAGAACGACATGAAGGCTCTTCGATCCAAGAGTCTTCTCAATGAAATAGAGAGCATCTATGACGAGGTGAGTTTAGCTGATCTTCTGTTTCTGAAGGTCTAATGACTCGTTCTCAGGATCTAGAAAATAGCTTTTTTCCGTAATTATAATCTGGTCTTCATTCTGAACCATTTTGCATTGTAATTTCATATACTACTTTATTTTAACAGTAGGAGTAATCATTTCAGTCTGTCATCAATCTATCGTATCTACGGTGACAAGGCTCCAGAAATCATAGAGGGGTTAAAGAGGAGTCCAGCCACTGCAGTGCCTGTCGTACTCAAAAGGTTAACAAAAAAGTCTTATTTTTCTTTTCTCTCACCTAAATGACAATCAGGGTATCTCTACAGTTACATTTGACAGCAAAAGTAGTAGAATAGCTCAGAGGTCAACAACTTATTTATTGCTGCCCTTAGCTCACAGGGGGAAAAATCATTGAGATCTACAAGACCGTATACAGAGTTAATAAATCCAGCATGGTTAATCAAAAATGAAAACAGTGGATGTCATTTTTACACTATCCCTAATTTTGCAGTCATTTGTGGTTCTAAAGTTTTAAGAGTTCTTCAGTCTAGCAGAAATTACATTTTGACTGAAGAATAAATGGATGATTTTCTTGCCATAGATTGAAAGCTAAAGAGGAGGAGTGGAGGGAGGCCCAGCAGGGCTTCAACAAAATCTGGAGAGAGCAATATGAGAAGGCGTTTCTGAAATCACTGGACCACCAGGGTGTCAACTTCAAACAGAACGACATGAAGGCTCTTCGATCCAAGAGTCTTCTCAATGAAATAGAGAGCATCTATGACGAGGTGAGTTTAGCTGATCTTCTGTTTCTGAAGGTCTAATGACTCGTTCTCAGGATCTAGAAAATAGCTTTTTTCCGTAATTATAATCTGGTCTTCATTCTGAACCATTTTGCATTGTAATTTCATATACTACTTTATTTTAACAGTAGGAGTAATCATTTCAGTCTGTCATTTTTTTAGTTTATGATGATAATGATGACAGACTTGACTAAATGTAGTCGCAGTGGAGGTTAATAAAGGACTGAAATTGTAAAAATAGTTTATGTGAACATTCTACTCATTAATTCTGTCACAGTGACATTTGATTTGAAAAAATCAAAAGCTTAAATCATTGCATCTATAACAGCTTTTAAGTTGCCATGTTATTATTCAGTAAAATAGTCTTATCAAGCTCTATTTTGCACCCCTTTTCTTTTTATTCTTCTCCCACAATGTAAAAAAGACAGGAGGTATTTCAGTTAACCAATTTACTGAACAACATCTCATGAATTATTCCGCTTTACTACATATCAGCAGTTTAAGTTAGGAATAGCACATAGATGTTATGTTATGATGTATGAACAAGAACTCATCACATTTTCTTCATCGTCACCATTGTAATTCTGCGTTCCCGCTCAATAAAAACCGAGTACATCATGTGAAATCTCATCTCGGGTTGCTTGCTACAAGAGTCTCATATGCCATGCAGATAACTAGCGCTTTTGTTTTTTCCCCTCTACAGCGGCAGGAGCAGAGCACAGAAGAGGGCGGCATGGGCCAGCAAAGTTGTGACGGCTCAGGCACAAATTCGACCAGTGAACCCCACATGATCTTCACTTACGAAGACAAACAGATCCTGGAGGACGCTGCCTCCCTCATCATCTACCATGTCAAGCGACAACCCACCATCCACAAGGACGACAAGGACCACATCAAGCGTATCATCCAGCACTTTGTTCCCGACCTCTTTTTCGCCCGTCGTGGAGAGCTTAGCGAGACAGAGGAGTTCACGGACGAGGAAGCCGACGGTGAGGACGGCACCACCGCAGGAGGTGAAGTCTCAACAACAGGCGGCCAGCAACAGCTGAACGGTGATTCCAGACGAAGACGATGCACTTCCCCTCAGAGCATGGACACCTCTACGGCTGCCCACAGTATGAATCCAGAAGGGGAGGCTGTGGATCTGCGGGACCCGGAGGCTGTGGATCTGCGGGACCCAGAGGCTGAGCACCAGAAGGAGATGGATGGAGTCTACAACCTGTTCTTTGTCAATAATAACTGGTACTTCTTCCTGCGGCTGCACCAGACTCTGTGCTCACGGCTGCTAAGGGTTTACAGGCAGGCCGAGAGACAGTTACTAGAACACAGGGCGGAGCAGAATCGGGAACGGCTGCTCATGGGAGATGGGCGCAGAGAAAAGGCAAACGACCTGGCTATGGAGCTGCGTCTGAAACAGCCCAGTGAGTAGATTTCCTGAACGATGCACATGTACACTTACACCTACACAAGTTTTGCATTGGATGCACCACTAATATGTGCTTTGGGATAATTACTAATCTGGTTTTAGAACTAAATTAACAGTAATGTCTGTTGTATCAGGTGAAGTAGAGTTAGAGGAGTATTACCCAGCGTTCTTAGACATGGTACGCAGTCTTCTAGATGGAAACCTGGAGGCCACGCAATACGAGGACACCCTGAGAGAGATGTTCACCATCCACGCTTACATCGGATTTACCATCGACAAGCTCATTCAAAACATTGTAAGACAGGTGGGTTGAAGAGTTGCATTACACCAAGCTAAGATTCTTGGGCCATTTGTATACTTTTAAAGGTGCCATGAATTTTACAAACATTTTTCAACTCTCAGATCTTTTCAAAGTCTTGGAAGACTTTATGTAAATGACCTCAGTTCTGATTCACCCATTATCATAATTGAATAGATATTAAATAGTCATTTATATGTAAACAGGCATGCAAATTTATTGAATTAAATTGCAATCTTTGCGATTTGATGATCGCGCTCATCAAATCGTAATACGATTTTGGATTTATTTTAATTTGAAAAGTTCCCAAATAACTTAAAATGTTTTGCCATTTGTGATTCTTAAATGGTCGGATTGAGCTGACAGGGAAGAGAACCTTAGGGGCCGTTCACACAGAACACGTCTTTGCGTCTAAAAACATGACACGCAGTGCTCAGGAATGGTTTAAAAAAAAAGCACAGCGCAATGCCACCTCCGCCATGTTTCTGTCAAAAAAAAACAATTGCCATGCCAACTTCCTTCTGTAAACAAAAGCTTGCACCACTTGCCCTGCCTCCAGGGTCTTCTGATAGAACCACTGTTTTGGAACTGACATTGAAGAGTGGCGCTGTGTGTAAAAGTTGAAATTCTTTTAGCTTGACGTGGCATCTTAAAAAAGACAAGAGACATGAGTGCAATGCTCATACATACAACATTCGTCTAGCGCATGTCTACATAGAAAAACAACTGAAAAGTAGTTCATTAAAATGAAAAAACACATCGTGTGAACGGCCCCTTAGGCTGTGAATGTTATAGTACTTTTATATTTTTTAAAAAAGCAAGTAAAATCTTGTTTTTTTGTTTAGGTGTTAACATGCTCTTCTCTCTGATTGACTCCAACAGCTTCAGCACTTGGTCAGTGATGAGGTGTGTCTGCAAGTCACTGAGCTGTACCTGGCCGAGAGGAAGAGGGGTGCTGCTGGTGGCAATCTCTCGTCCCAGTGTGTCCGCTCCGCTTGGGAGGCCAGCTACCAATGGAAGGCTGAGAGAGTCATGTCTGAGGAGAACTGCTTCAAGGTGCTTGACCTAATGCTGTCCCTACATATGACCAAAATTTATGTGGAAATCTAAATTCAGATGTTATATTCACCTCCTCAGAATTGTCATGCTTGTTTTGTAATTACCTAGTTTAGTTTGTGATTTCTTGGCTGTTTCTCATCAGGTCATGTTCATTCAAAACAAAGGTCAGGTGACCTTAACGATCGAGTTGCTGGACACGGAGGAGGCCCAAGGCGATGACCCGCTGGATCTTCAGGTACCTCCACACAAAGTTCTGTATTTTTACAACAGAAAATACTTCTGAAACATGGGTTGTTTGTTTTCTGAGAACATTTTAAAAGCGTCAAATCTGGTTTTCTAGTGCATTAATATTTGTTATGTCTTGTTTCAGAGCCTGTCTAATTATATGGAGCAGTATATAGGAACTGAATCTGTATGCTCTCAGACAGAAGGATACTACTTCAAGCCTGTGTTTCTACCCAGGTAAAAACCCATGTTTGCACTTGTTTAACCTGCGTTATTTATGCCTGTTCTTTCTCTTTTGTAGCCAGAAGGTTCATTGTTAATTTGTTTAGAGGTGCATGAGTTCTATAATTCATGCGCCTCTAAATTTACGTTTAATTTACGTTTTTATTTTTGTTTTGTTTTGTTTACAAGCCCAATATTACTTGCTTTCTCTCAGCAACACTCATTATTTTTAGACCCCTCATAATATCTGACCTTGTTTCTGGAAGAAATTATGTATAATTGAAGCTGATTGTCTCAGTATAAAGTAGTACACTGCTTTTGTGATATAAACTAAAAATTGCTTGTTCAATTGTAATACATGTCGAATTAAGGTGAAACTAGATTGACATTTTTTCTGCACCTCACCTTTAGGAATCTGAGGCATTTCCGTGGCTGGCAGCTCAAGCAGGTGGAAGCCATGCGCTGTCGGAGAGAGTGGCATCGGAAGATGGGTGTGGAGACAGCTGGGAACCTGGACTGCCGTTTCAAACTAAACACGCACAAGATGGTGTTTGTGATGAACTCCGAAGACTACATGTACCGCCGAGGGGCCCTGGTGAAAGCTCGGAGGGTATGTTCGTAAAATACAAAAAGATTCTGAACATTTCTACAGTCAATATACATTTTTTCGGTCTAGTATTTTCAGTTAAATTTGCGCTTTGTGAGTACAATCAAAAATACTTGCAGAACTGTTAAATTCAAATAATAAATGATGCTAACCATATAACTCATGCATGGTTAGGATGACAAAATAAGCTTATTCACTTTTAAAAGAGAGGCGAAAATGCTTCCCATATCTTACCATATTCCCAAATACACTTCCATTCAAAAGTTTGTGGTCAGTAAGACTTTTATAATGTTTTTGAAAGAAGTCTCTAATGCTCAATAAGGCTTCATTTATTTAATAAACACTGTAATATTTGAAATATGATTACAATTTAAAAGAACTGTTTTCTATTTTAATATATTGTAAAATATAATTTATTCATGTAATGACATTACGCCAGTCTTTAGTGTTGCATGATCCTTCAGAAATCATTCCAATATGGCGATTTGATGTCCAATAAACATTTCTTATTATTATAAATGTTGACAATGGTTGTACTGCTTTATAATTTTGTGGAAACTGACATATTTTTTCAGTATTCTTTAGTTAATAGGAAAAAAACTGCATTGATTTGAAATAGATGTCTTTTGTCTTCGTCTTAAATGTCTTTTGATAAATGTAATGTATCCTTCCTGAATAAGTAAAAAAAAAATCTTATTAACAACCAACTTTTAAAAAGTAGGGGCTTTCGCACCGGAGGAACCTTTTCATAGTTCCTAGAACTATTGGTGTAAGTTCCCACTTTTTTGGAGTGTTCGCGCCTCACGAACAAGGAACATATTTAGTCCTTTTTGGGAACTCAGTTAGCTCCTACTTGAGAATAGGGTCTAAAACAGTTCTATAGGAATTACCAGTGACGCAAGTGTACGCTGATTGGCCAAACGCAAACGAAACACCAGCTAATTGTTCTCCACCCACATGGAAAACGGGGATAAGACCGTTTAGCTACCTGTTGTCTGCAGTGTTGTTCATTTCTCAGCCTCGATGATATTTAATTCTGCAAGTTGTCACCTTCTTTTTTTAATGCTTTTTCAGTTGCGTAACTAAATTGTGCATTTACATCTCCATTATCACGAAACCCACGACACACAACAAAAACAGCTCTGATGACCTCCATTGTTGACGTTTGTAAATGGCACAAATAAAGACGCCGCTGTCGGCCGCTTCGGAGTTCCTGCTGCCAGTGCGAATGCAACCAGGAAAACGGCTCGTGGGCGAAACTGGTTCTCTAGAACCACCATGCTGACTAGTTCCTAGAACCATGTGGTGCAAAAGCCCCTAGTAGTGCATTTAATTTTTGTCCCATCTCTTCCTCTAGTCCCAGCACAGAGTAGCACGGGCCCAGCACGAGCGCTTCGAGCAGTGGCACCGGGGTTGGTTGAGCGAGCATGTGTCCTCCGGCGCTGAGCGCAGCGTGCAGGACTGGCTCATGGGAGAAGAGGACGAGGACATGATCCCCTGCAAGACCACCTGTGTTTCCATGCAGGTCAAAGGCTTACATGTCAACAGGTACCAGGTGCACTACAACAGCAAGGCCCCCGCCTCACCGTAACAACCTCAAGCCTTGGGATGGATTTTGGTGATCTCTCTCTTTTCTCTCTTTGTCTTTTTCTCGCTCACTCTTTCAAATGGCCGAGCTTAAACATGCTTGGCTGAAACACAGCGAACAGACAGGAGTGGTTTGAGGACAGACAGCTGCTCAAAGGAGGGAATGCCTCATTAAAAAGCATCACATCTCGACACTAGTCCATCATGATCGATGCCGTTACCAGACGTTTCAGAAATGTGAATGTCACTTTTTTTTTTTTTTTTTTTTTAAGAAAGTCCATTGTAGTTTTTAGCTCCTGAAACCAGAGTTTTGTTTTGTTTATACTGAAGTATTGAGAGACTAGGTTTAATGTATGTCTACAACATCTGTATGTCTTTTTGTACAGTTAAGTCGACTTGAGCTCGAGCAATTGCATATATACAGCAGAAAGATTATTCTGTGTGCATTTTCTTGGCTATGAATGATGACTTGGAAAAATTATGTTTCTCTGGGGCACATCCGTAACGTCCTTGTTTTAGTTCTGTTTTGTGTTCTTTGTTTTCATCGTCTCTTATAACTGAACAGAGGATCGCCAGTGTCACCTGTCAATCACTGCTCATTATTTGTAGTTGATTTTGTTAAACATCCAGATCATGTATCATATCGATCTCGCCAAATCCTTGCTTTTGTTTAGTGTAATTTTTACATATTAAAACCGAAAAATGACAAAATATCAGTGTTTTGAAAAAAGAATGTATAACATTTATCCTGTATCAGTTATCACAAAATAAACAACCTAGTTGTGCAGTTCTTAAAGAACGGGTCGTGATTCTTGCAGAATTCTCACCTTTTCATCAGAAGATTGTGCATTTGGAATAGCAACATTGTCCTGTCTTATGGTTTAAATTATTTGATGTTACAATTTAATATTTATCTATCTGCAGATACCATGGTGGAAAACCAGCTTTATTTAATACATGTTTGGCCAGGCAGAACATTTTATGTGAAATATCCAAAGAAAGTTGAACAAAGTGTCTGGGTCATTTTTCACCCCACTCTTTATTTGACATTTAAGTACATTCCCTGAAGATCCTTATTACATTTACATTTAACACACTTCTTTAAATGAAAACCTCCATAAATGAAATCCAGTACAATAAATACTAGAAAGGTGTATATTTATTTTAGTGCTGTCAAATGATTAATCGCGATTAATCGCATCCAAAATAAAAGCTTTTGTTAACATAATATATGTGTGCATACTGTGTATATTTATTATGTATATATAAATACACATGTATACATTATGAAAACATTTAGATGTATTTACATGCATATTTGTATATTCATATAATTTATATGGTTTATAAATATATTTTATATATAAACATACAATTTTTCTTAAATATATACATGCATGTGTATTTATATAGACATAATAAATATACACAGTACACACGCATATATTCTGTAAACAAAAACTTTTATTTTACATTTATTTAAACATTTAAATAATGTTTAAATACATTTATTAAACATTTGACAGCACTTATTTATTTGTTTTTTTTGTAAATGTGTGGTAATGTTAAACTGTCATGAAAATGTCAAAATGCAAGACATTTTAATGGTCTTCAATTAGCTTCATTTGAGTTATGGATTACAGTGTGTAATTTTTTTTTTTTTTAATTTTGGCAGGAATATCTTGACTTGTTTCATGATATTTACCCAGAAAGTTTTTTTTTTATTATTATATGTTTAATATGTTTGTTTATTTATTTAAGAGGAGTCTTGCAAATGGCTTTCATTTGAGGATTGTGTTTATATATATATATATATATATATATATATATATATATCAGTATCGCACAGAAGTGAGTACACCCCCTCACATTTTGTAAATATTTTATATCTTTTCATGTGACAACACTGAAGAAATTACACTTTGCTACAATGTAAAGTAGTGAGT